ATATATCTAATCAGATCTCGAGTAGCTTACTCACAAGCATCATCCAGAGGCTGTTGGAGATTCCCTCTGGAAGCAGGCCGTTCCTCACTCATGAGTTATGGGGGAGAGAGCCAGTTTCAGATGGCATTTGCAAATCATGCAGTTGTACAGCGCCTGAGTCAGTCAGGGATCTCTGCTGCTTTAACAGCCATAAAACTGCCCAATGCCTGTAAGGTTCAGAGCTGCTGTTTAGCTCTCTGTGGAATGCCTGGGACTGAGTCCTAACGTTTCCTCCCTGAAGATTGCTTATTTTAGCTCAAACATGTTTGGGCTGTGAGGAGAAAGTGTCAGGAGTTCCCTTCCTGCCCCCACCCCCTTTCTTGCAAACTCTGTATAGGATCTGTGTAGTATAGCTGAAAGCGGGCAACCAGGGCGTGACCCTTAGTGCTCCACAAAGAGGAGTGCTGGAATGGAGGCAGGCGGCTCAAGGCTCTGGCTGCCTAGATCAGAATTGGAGCAGAGGGAGTCCCCTTGTCAGCCTCACCTTCCCTCTTTTATAGTTTCATAGTTTCTAGGGTCAGAAGGGACCTAAGTAGATCATCTAGTCCGACCCCCTGCCCTGGCAGGAAAGAGTACTGGGGTCAAATGACGCCAGCAAGATGTACATCTAGCCTCCTCTTAAAGACCCCCAGGGTAGGAGCCAGCACCACTTCTCTTGGAAGTTGGTTCCAGATCCTAGCCGCCCTAACCGTGAAGTAGCACTTCCTGATATCTAGCCTAAATCTACCCTCTGCCAGCTTGTGACCGTTATTCCTGGTCACTCCTGGCAGCGCTCGGGGGAACAGGGACTTCCCCAGTGCCTGCTGGTCCCCCCTGACTAGTTTGCAAGATTTTTGGGAGAAGTTACCGGTGTGAAGGGATGTGTCTTGGTCAACAGGAAAGGCATCTCCTCGCTGGACCTGCTGCTGCCACCAAATTGCACAGATGCTTGCCATATAACTGCAGTGGCTGTGGGGCAAGGGGAGTGTTAACCTGGCTGCCAGCAATGACACCCCCCCATACAGCAGTGTCCTCCCCAGCCTCTTCCCCTTCCCTCCACCCACTCTGCATGGCTGGAGCCTTGAACCTCCTTTCATTCCAGTGCCCCAGAGTGCATACCCTCTGCTGTCCAGGACGCAAGGTCTACCATTTAAGCCTCTGTTTGAGATCTGGAGAGAATTTCTCCTACCTTGTTCCATGGGCAGACTCCGTGAGCTCCAGAAAGAAGAGAGCAGTTCCAACTGCCCTGGACAGGTGACTCCTGGTCCACGTCATGGGATGAGGTGGCTCTGTGTGTTAGCCTTCACTCAGGGCTGGGCTGAGTGGCCCAAGATCTTGATTTTCCTGGCTTGCTTATTTGTTTCATGGTAACCAAGGAAAGCAGGCAGTGTGCAAGGACCAGCCTGGATAACCTGTGAGAGAGGGAGCATGCACATGGGATAGCCTTTTAGTGAGAGGAGAAGCATTTGGATTTAAGCCTGTCCATTTTTGGCTAATTCTGTTGGAACCATGACCCGGTGGTGGTCCATTATGCTGGAGTGCAGGGTTTAAGGTGCTGAAGACAGCCCACTTATCTTGATACCCACCTGTGAACTGGAAGAGCTGCTGGCTAATAAGCTTCATAGTAAATGAAACTAGATATGCTTTCTACACCTGATTTCATTGCTGCAGGGCCTGTTGTTCTGTTGGCAGAAGCAGCTGTTCACTTTTCTGCTGTATTGATGCATGGGTTGAGTTTCAACCTGCAAACATCCTTCATTTCTTGAGTTCACACTGAACCCAGCCCAGGCACTGTTTTGTGGGGAGAGAGCTAAAAGGCTATCTAACTAAGTGTAAATCTGTACCTCTCTTGGCACAAGTAGAAAGTTTGCCCCCAATTCTCCCACGCCAAATACAGCACTTTCTCCATCTATATCACACTGCTTTGTCAGCATGTGTGAAGTACAGGAGAGACAAGCGGTGACAAACTGTTTCCTAGAAGAGCAGGAACTAGACATTCAGGTGGATCCTTTCTAGGAATCCCCCTCCGCCCTGCTTTGTCTTTCCTTCCATGCCTAGCTCTAATTATGGGCAGCAGAGACAGGCCTTTTGATATGCCAGTCAGGATGGCGGTCCAAAGCTCACCAAGTAGAGCTATAAGCCCCCTTAGTGATGGGGGCCAGTAAGGTCATATCACTGATTACTGGGACAATAGAAAAATGGGGTCAGGAGTGAGAATCATAGATTTATAATGAGTGCATCAAGGGGAAGATATCGAGCAGAATATGCTGGATAGTGCTCGTTGGCCTTAAAATGAGTCCAAGGAGCCACAGGACACTGCCTGGTGAAACCTTCCCCAGAGATGTGAACAGACGAGAGCCAGTAAAGCAGCCCTGCAGTCCCCAGGGGTCCTCCTAGCCAGAGTCTTCTTTCTGGTCAGATAGATTGCAGGCTTGGTTAGGGCCACGAGGAGGCTGACTAGGAAGCCCTGAGTCTTGTTGGGGCCACAGATAGGGAGTGTGTAAATTAAAAGGTGCAGGGAGTAGTGCAGCTAGAACCTCAGCAGGAGGTTCTGGAAGAGGCAGTGAAGGGTTTGCAGCCTGGTGCCCTGCAGGGAGGTATGCATCAGGGTCTCCCACTGCTCGTATAAGGGGCAGGTGCTGGGGGCATTTGTAAACCGCACCAGCTACACACCTGTGGTGATGGCTCTGTGGAAGAGCCACCAGCTGAGGTTCCTGGTCGAACCGAGATGGGAAGTGGGATGCAAAAAAAGCCAGTGATGGACTTCTTGTGTTATGCTATGCAGTGCTTGGGTGAATTGTGAATGTGCTGGGGAAAGGAAGTGGGCTAGGGGAAAACTTGATCTCTGCAGAGCTTAGCTGAGGTAAGTTGGGTGCTTCCAGAGAGTTTCTAATGTAGCTGGTTAGTGGGTTTAAGCTAAAGGTTGGGCCTGGGAGTGGCCTTAGGTACCATTTTAGCTGTACCCTAAATATTTCCACTTTGTCTGTCTGTCAATAGATCCTGTTTATTTACAGCCCTTGTGATGCAGCAGCAGGAGGGATTGAAGTTGGTCATTTAAGTCAGCAAGCAGAAATCTTGAGTTTAATGATCAATTATAATCTTGTTTTATATTTATACTCTTTAGTTATTTTTCTGAAGGAAGATTGATTCTCAGCATCAATGGTAATTGTTAAAATGCTGCTGATTTGCACTTACGTGTAGAGTGTAGAATTAAATCTAGTACTACTTTTTTTGCTAACCAAGAGGGTAGATCATCTACTTATTTTTTTTTCAAATGATACAGCTTAGCATAGTTTTGTCCCAACTCTTAAATTTTATACTTTATTGTACCGGAAAATGTTGAACGACATCTATTTCCTAGATTACTTTTTTGTATGATTTGCGTTAAGTAGGTTTTGCATGGAATTTGAATTTAATTAAAAAAGTAGAAAGCTAGCATTTTAAAATTGCTTTTTTATTTGTAAAATAAAAAAGCCAAGAGGAAAAGGATACGTAAGAGGAAAAGGATAAAAGTACTTTTTGCATTTTAAACTAACCAATTTATTAAACAATGGAAGTATTTTCTGTAATTAGTGAATAAAACTGGTTGTTTGTATACTTTAGAACTAATAGATCTCAGCCTTTTACACCTGTGTTTCATTAAAAAATTGTCAAGGGAAAACAAGTCTTTTAACCCCTATCAGTTTGACAGTTTTGAACAAATTATTTATTAAACTCAACTAAACTGAAGTGAAAATATTCTCTGCATCTTCAGGTGGGGCTTTAGCTATCTAAAAGCTAGGTCATCATTTCAATAAACTGCATCTCCAGCAGCTGAGATAACAATGTCCCCAAGTACAGAGGGTTGGCCTTAAAACTTTGGTAGCTATCACGCACTGCTCAAATATTTTATATTTCATTTAAATGATTTAAATAAGTAATACTAGTTCTTGTGGTTAGAGATGTGAATTGATTTCTAAGGAGGTTTATTTTTAATATGAACTAGAAAAGCATGATTTAACCACCTTGCAGAGCAGCTTCCTGACTCCTACTAAGGAGCCACAGAGTAGGCTTCATGACTGTTATCTTTGGCAGCTTACTCAATCTGGAGTTTATGAACTGACACCTTTGAGTGGGAATGTGCTTTAGCTCCTGTATGCTGACCCCATGGGGGTTGTTCTTATCTTACAGGAATGGAAGGGGTGGAAAAGGTAAAAGAAGGAATCTGCACAGATTTGCCGGTGCCGGTGGATAGAGCTTGTGCCCGGGAGGAAAACTCAACAGCTGTTGCTCGCCAAGATTCCACATCTTTTACATCACCAAGAAGTCCTCAAAGTGTACCCACTATAGCAAGGGATGTGAACCTGGAAGTCCTCATGAGTGGAGTTGCCTGCCTGCCTGGTGAGTAGCTTAGCCAGGTGGGTGGAAGAAAGGGTTTTACTACAGGGCTGCAGTTCTCAGGTGTCATGATAGTAGATGTGTACTTTACACTTTACATTGGGATTGTGGGGTTGTGTGTGATGTAGGCTTTGCATTAGAAGCTTTTCTGAAAATGATCTTAAATTTCTGGCTGACTCTTAATGCTCTCTGGATGAAGAGAGGATTAGCAGGAAATGGGGACTTGCACTCTCAGACACTCCAGGTGACTTGCTCCCAACAAAGAAGCTGGCCGAGAAGATCTCTGACACACTTAAGATGTACTTAGGTCAGTGGTCCCAGACATTTTTGGACCACCAGATCATTGCCAACCTGCAAATTTCTCAGGAATCATTGTGTATCTTTACCATCAAACATCTAATTGAAACTGCTGTAAAAGTGGATGGGGCATAGTATAACCTATAGACCAGCTGCAGACCACTTACCAAGGCTTCATGGATCTCTGATGCCCCATGGACCATAATTTGGGAACTGATGGCAATACAGAAAAAATAACTTGTGATGGAGGTTGCTATTTGGTGGGGATGCCATTTCTGCAGCTCTGAAGGGAATCTCAGTCTGAGGGAGAGGTGGCTTTTCTTGGAAAAGTGATATTGAATGGATTAAAATCCCCCAAACCAGCCCCAGGTATTTAAAGTGCTCAACATAATATTAGATGGAGTGTGAGCTAGATGTATACATGCACACATGCCCAATGAGATGCTAGGAACCTCCACAATTACATTGAAAAGGGTAAAAGTGATGGCATTCATGTTCTTTTCTGTTTTATGTTATTCATGTTCTTCTCAGGGAGAGAGCAGCTGAGTAGCACAGGATAGTTACTTTGTTGGGCAGCAGTAGAATAAGTAGGAGATAGGAATGTTTCACTTTATTTTTTCATTAGGGGTCTGCTCCTGTTAGACTTCTTGTGATTTGTTTTAATCATTTCATACCATTGTTATAACTGGAAATGGCATCACTGCTAATGAATTTCTTGCAATGCATTAGATGTGTTTCCCTGTGTATATAGGTAAGTGATCATTGGAGAATAGTGAGACCATGTGATTTAACAGAGGTGACTGCTTCCTTCTGCTTTGTGTCTGGATCTTGGTCTAGGTTGTTGAATGGAAGAGTCTAAGTATGGATCTCTGAGTGGAAACTTCCAAATGCTTTGTTAAATTGCCCTTGCACCTGCCTTTCAGATTGGATGATGTTCGAGCAGTGTCCATTTGGGGTCCTTCATATAATTTTTCTCAATGTTCTATAAATCAGAGGCTAAGAAGGATTATTAAAGTGTAACACTAACAGTATCATTTGGCTGAAGGAGCTCCTTGAGTAAATAAATCACAGCTGGGACAACCTGTTAAAATCCATCTTCTATCTTGCACCATTGGAATCTCTGTCTTGGGAGAAAGGGTCATGGCTGCCTTTCAGCATTGCTTTCCTGGTTGCCTGCATCAGAACTGTCTGGCTAAAGCGAAGGGGTTTCATTTGTCCCAGACAGGTTGCTTCTGGGGAGTTAGGTTATTCTAAGGGCAGTGATCTGGTACATTGTGAATACTGTGCCATCTACATCTTAAGCTCTCTGTGATCTTCATAGATGGGCATGGAATCTCCTGCAAGGCCAGCAGCAAGCTAGGCCTCCTTGTCCACCGGCCTGCCTGAGGCTGAGTTAAATATGGTATTTTGGGGGCTTTTATCTTGTGCACTCCTGGAGCAAAAGCTGAGGATTTCCATTCTAGGGCTTTGTCCTTGAACAGAAGCCACCTGCTTTGTGTGCTGCTACACCAGCTTTCTTCCTTCAGCCTAGACCACTAGAGCTGCATTTGGTTAGGCAGCACTCTTCTGAAAACCTGCTTGAATTCCTTCCAGCTGACAGGAATCAGCTGGTAAGGTGCTCATCCTGCTTGGGCTTTAAGAATTCTAACCTGAACTTCAATGCTTTGTGTTCAACTGAATGTGGGCCCCATGTCTTGCTTTTAAGAATGAATGTGGTATGAAAGACATCAGTAGTGGCCAGTAGCAGCACTGTGGCTTCCAGGAGGGTAGGGCTTAGGTGTCTGGCTTGTGTCTCCTAGTGCTGGGGCTTGGGAGTGTTGCAAAGGTGGCCTGCTCTCTTCTGGAGGGGTGGGCACTGGGATGTTCCTGTGCAGCCCAACAGCAATGCCATTATTTGCTAGGGAAACCCATGGAGGGCTGCGGCTGGGATGGGCTGCCTTGGGGGTGTTTTTTTTGAGTGATTCTCAGAAGCTCTAGCTAGTGCGTACATTAAAATAAACTTTTGTTTTTAGGCACTAGAGACAAAAGTGGACACGCTGTGGCTATCATCACAATGAGGAACACGATTTGGTTAAACCCCCACTGCAACACCAGTGAGCTGGTGCGCCTCCTCCTGTACTTACACAGCATCCCAAGGTTGGTGGAACTGTTGGCCCAGGTCAGGTGGTTGGGCAGGGTGAATGGCTCCAATCTTTCCTTGGATCTGCCTGAAATGTGAGACCCAGGAGGCTGAATGGTAATGACCTTGTTTGACAGACTGAGGTGATGGCCCAGAATAGTCTTAGAACCAAATCACTAAAGATTTGCTGCAAGGGTGAATTAGCCAGTGCTCACTAAGCAGTTTGGATCTGCAGAGTGCCATGTGGGCATGCTAAGCAGGAGAATAATGTCTGTATTACTGGACATTTTCAGGTGTTGCTATAAACATAGGTGCCAACTTTGGTTTTTGCTGGTGGGTGCTTGCACACACAAAAAAACAAACAAACCGAAAATGGCGCTTTAATTTAAACTCAGTGTATTCCTGCGCCTAGCCCCATGCGTGCCCAGAAGAAGCAGCACATTACTTCAACCCAATTCTGCAGCATCTGTAAAGATCGGGTGCTTTAGTGGGGCTTTTTGGCACTTTTATCTAATAGCTGGTTGAATCAGTTTTAGCTAAAAATGCGAAAAAGCCCTGTTGAAGTGCCCAATCTTTATAGATGCTGCAGAGCGGGGTTGAAATAATGCACTGCTTCTTCTAGTAAAGCACAGTTTTGTTTTGTTTAACATCTGCAAGTAGCCACGGCTGTAGCTTGTGGATGCTGAGCACCCAGTAATTTTTCCAGTAGGTGCTTGAACCCGAGAGTACCCGTGGAATTGGAGCCTATGGCCATGAACCTAGACCATTACACACTATGCTGTACTAGCTCACAAAGAGGGCTCACGAACTGTGATGGAGGGGATACTGAGATAGCCCTTCAAGGAGACAGTTATGCAGTAGCTCTATGAGATGCTTCTGAGAGGCAGCCTTTCTGCTAACCCATACTCCATGCAGATAAGGAAGACTGCTGTTATGGTCACACAGGCCTGTCTTAGTATATGTGAAATTGCCTCTCTGTCACACTGTTTGGCTTCACTTTGGCTTCTCCCCTCACTTTTTGCCATCCTAGGTAGCACTAGGAGAGGGAATCAGCATTCATGTGATAGTCTGTGCAGCATGAGGGATTTGCTGCTGTAGAGTGGAGCAACACAGTGAGCATTGCAGTAAGGGTAGGGAAGCACAAGCTTACTTAACAGCAAATAATAAGAGAACAAAGATCAAAGAAAGGATGTTCAGAGAAAAAATATTGAGGATGTGGCCTTGGCTGCCCCTTCTTGGTTTTGCCAACAGAAGTCCTGATAGCAGACATCAGCTGGCATCACCAAGCCACTTGCGCATACCTACATCCATGCTGCCTCTGGCAGCTCTGAACCAGATTCTGATGGCAGCCGAATCCTTACTTTGACTTGAAGGAATCAGGTTGCTCTGCTTCATAAAAGCTTTGGGTATGGGCACACTCAATTTTTCTGGAACAACAAGAGTTCTGTCTGCAAAATGGTGTAGTGTAGGTATAAGAGAACAGTTACTTGCTTCCTCTTTATAGAATAATATATGTACAGTACACTACCGTACAGTGCTGTACAGCTCAGTTTCATCTGCTTTAGTGGATGGTGCTGTACTTTGGTAATGACAAGTATCTGGTTCTGCTCTTTTCCTTACAGACCAGGGTGCCAAGCTTTGGGTCTGACCATACTAGTCGATGCTCGTCGTTGTTCACCTGTTCCTGCCCTTTTTAAGGCTTTCAACATACTGCAGGTGAGTTCACGGCTTATTACATGGTGCTTCCAGTAGAAGCAGCATTAGAGTGAAATGTGGGTAGACCATTTGGCCCTAGGCTTTCTTGAACTGGATATAGTTTTCTGGCATCTAGCTCCACTGAAAGCCACACCTGCCATGTGAGTTTAGGCTGCTGTTGAGAGCATAGGTAGTGGAAGGCCAGGGCTAACGGGGCTTAGCACCCCCAAATTCAGGGCAGTGGTGACAGCACAGAGGATCGCAGGGCAGCCTGGCTGTGGACTCCAGGCGGCTGCAGGGCGGGAGGCACACAGACAAATATGCAGCTGCAGCCTGCAGAGGTGACCAGGAGCACAGTACCCAGCAGGTAAGTCTGTAAAGGGGAAGAGGCATGGGGGGCCAGATCAAGGCACCCACAGTGAAGGAGGGAGTGGGGCAGGAGCTGGGGCAAATGGGGCCCTGGGGCTGGGATGGGTCATGGGACGGTCGGAGCTGCATGTGGCTCATCCAGGGATTGTGGCAGGACTTCTGCCACTGGAGGAAGCATGGGAGACATGTGATCCCTAGATTAATGCACAGTGTTGCAGACGTGAATTGCTGCTGTGGGCTGGGTTCTGCACCCTGCAAAGGCAGGAGGAGAAAATATTATTGGGTGGTGGGGGTGGCTGAGCACATGTGGGAGAGAGCCACATGGCGTTGTGTCCTTACTGGGCAGCGGCAGCGGGGTGCAGAGCCCAGCCTGCAGTGACAGCCTACCTCCGCCCCGTGCACAGATCAAGGGGCCATGTTCCTCCTGGGCCTCCGCTGGGGTGCATGCAGCAGTGAATGTCCCCTGCGCTCCTGGACAAGCCATCTGGGCTTTGAGTATCCCATGACCCGCCCTGGCCCTGGGGCCCCCTTCACCCCAGCCTCTGCCCCTGCTCCTGCTCCTGCCCCACTTCCTCCCTCACTGCAGTGCCCTCAATCTGTCCCCCACCACGTCCTTTCTCCACAACAGACTTACCTGCTGTGCTGGGCAGTGCTCCACACGCAGCCAAGCTGCTACAGGCTCCAGCTGCCCGTCTGTGTCCATGTGCCCCCCCACCCTGGCTGTAGTAGCTTGGAGCCCATGCCTGGGCTGCTGTGAGGCCCTCTGCCCTGCCACCACTGCTCTGCCTTGTGGTGGGGCAGGCAGGGCTAAACCCCATTAGCCCTGGCCTTTCGCCACCTGTAGTGTCCTGCTGCCATTGCCTGGGAGCCGTGTGTGACGCCATGTACCTTCTGTGTGCTGGCTGTGCCTACACTGCGTCCCCTTCCTGTCCGGCAGTGGGAGACACATGGCGTGACGTGCAGCTCCCAGGGCAATTGCAGTGAGGCACAGAGCTCAGCCTGCAGCTGCAGCCTGCCTCTGTGATGCCCCATGCACAAATCTGGGGGTTACATGCTCCCCCCCGTACCTCCCACGGGGTGCACGCAGCAGAGGGAACCCCTCCCCTCCGCACCCCTGGATGACCCACACTGGCCTTGGGGCTCCATTTGCCCTAGCCCCTGCCCCTCCTTCACCATGGGGGCCTCGATCTGCTGCCCCACACACTCCTTCCTCTTCACAGACTTGCCTGCAGGGCAGTGTCTGTGTCTGTGTGTATCTGTTTAGCAGTATTTTTTATGTTTAAGTTTTACTCAGCCCCCAAATAATATTTTCTCCTTCCGCCTTTGGTTGAGAACCAAGTTACTTCTCCCAGTTCAGTCTTTAGAGGACTCCCTCTCTATACATCCATGTCGGAAGGCAGAGCTAGAGGCCTGCATTTGGGGAAAAAAGAACTGAACAAGCTGCATTCATATCCCCAGTGGGTGGCAGCCCTGCCTACAAATCCGTAAGTACATTCTGTGGAACTCTGCTCAGAGACATCAGCCATGCTTCTAGCAAGTGTCCTTCTTGGCACAAGGAGAATTGTGTTTTCAACAGCTGTGTAAAATGCCCAGTGGAATGTCTTCTACCAGGAAGAAACAGAAATGAAGGAGAGAGGCCTGTGCTTTGTTGGCTGCTTGGGGTATGGATGGTGGAAAAGTGCAGGTCAGCACCATTGGGAGGAGCCTGTGGGGGTGAATGATCTGGCTTTAGGGTGAATGATTGGAACCAGACATGCTGTAACTCTAGACTGCTGCAGGTCGAAGGCTTTCCTCTCAGTCAACTAGTAACCAAGTATCATAGTGCTTAGGGTCGGAAGGGACCTAAACAGATCATCAGGTCCGAGCCCTTGCCCCGGTCAGGAACGGGTGCCAGGGTCATATCACCCCAGCCAAATATCTGTCCAGCCTCCTCTTGAAGACCCCCAAGGTAGGAGAAAGCACCTGGGAGTCCATTCCAGAGCCTGGCAGCCCTAACTGTGAAGCAGTGTCTCCTGATGTCCAACCTGAACCTTATCTCTAGCAATTTATGACTGTTATTCCTAGTAAACCCGCGTGGTGTTCGAGGGAACAGAGCCTCACCCAATTTCTGCTGGTCCCCCTGCTGAGTTTGTAAACAGCCACCAGATCTCCTCTGAGCCTTCTCTTGTGGAGGCTAAGTAGGTTCAGGCCCTTTAGCCTGTCTTTGTAGGGCCTGCCCTGCTGCCCCTTGACCATGCAAGTGGCCCTCCTCTGAACCCTCTCAATGCTG